TTACCATACATCCTACATGGACTTCTCTTACAAATTAAACTCTATCCTTTCTTACCATAAAGGTCACACAGTTTTTCATCCTTAAACAGTACATACATTCATACACACAAATTCACACACATGAATCAACTTGAACGAAATGACATGACAGTAACTAGTTCAGACTTGTTTTTTGACTGATCATATATTGTTCTTATTGTTCCGTTGTACTATTTAAACTTCGATTAATTTTAACTTGGTTATTTGTTCTCTGAACAAGTGACTTACATTAAGTCACGAAACATCAGAAAATCTAGTTTTTCTACTCATTGGGACATAACATATATATTATTTATTTATAATCAAGTTAAGTACTAATATTCAATGTATTCTAATGAAACTATTTTCGCCATAATAGTAAAGATGTGTATTTGGAGTATTTATTATCGTTTAAAATTGACAAAATCTTTTTTCAAACAAAAGTCATTTATCTCTGAATATGATACACGTTAATTTTTCCACTACTTACTCTTGTTATCCCTCGTGGAGAAGCATAGGTCTCCCTACCAGCATTCATGATCCAACTCTGTCCAAAGTAATCTCTTCCAGTTGCTATCCATCCTTTTCATGTTTCCTTCCAATTCCTGACAAAGTGTGTTCAACGGCCTTCCTCTTTTTCGTTTCCACTCAGGATTCCAAGATAGGGATTGGTTCGTGATGAAGTCTGATGATTTTCATGATATCTGTTCTATCCATTACCGACCTCTTTCCCTAATTTCCTCTCCAACTCTAAGCTGGTTTGTTCTCTCTCACAGTAGGCTGTCGCTGATGGAATCCGGTCAACGGACATTGTTTATCTTATGTAGACACTTGTTTATGATTAATTGTACATTTATAATGATAGTTGTGGTAGTTCTACAAGTTTTAGCTCCGCACAGTAGAACTATCTTGAAGATTGTGACTTGGATATTAGTTGACAGGTGTTCTGAGTTGCATAAGTTTTTCAACTTGGTTATTACTCACAACTTCAAAACCATGAGTTAGGTTAAATAAATTTGGAGCATTCTCTACTAGTATAATTCTGGTCATTGGATAATCAATACAAACAGTTAACTTCGAGAATTGTATGGACTTGTTTATTGGAACCATTAGGTATCCATTATTCACAAGCAGATTTTCGTCAACGTAATATACTTCCCACTTTCAAAACAGTAAATTTGTGTATGAGTACTACCTACAAGCACCCAACTGCGTCACAAGGCAAGCCCTCACATGGAATCCTCAAGGCCGAAAGAGAAGAGGAGGACCAAAGAACACATGACGTCGAGAAATGGAGACAGACATGAGGAAAATGAACAAAAATTGGATAAAATGCAAAGGAAGGCCCAGGACAGAGTGTGTTAGAGAATGCTGGTCGGTGGCCTATGTTCCATAGGGAGTAACAGGCGTAATAAGTAAGTGAGTAGGTAACTACCTACAAGTGATCTCGTGAGTAGCGTTCATCATAGTAGTATAAGTGGACTAGGTAATATGCCATGATCCACAACTATGATAAGAGAGTGTATCCTTACGTAATATTGGACAACACGATAGCCACCGCCTATCAAATGAACTACAGAAAACAGATAACAAAATGACAAAAATATTTACAAAATCGAAGATGTGTATCAATGAAAATATCTCGTCATTGTCATTTCGAATAGCACATGTTGCTCATAATAAAATAACTTTTCCATAGTGCTCGCTAAATCAGACATTGACTAAAACGTTCATACATACCTCAGAAAACTGAGGTCAAATGAAGATAAAATGAATGCCAAATTTTATCTCGTCAAGAATGTTTAATACTGTCACATTTGTAAAAAGCATGCTGTGTTTTCACAAAACTGCATGATAAACAGCCATCAGATTTCAGTATGCGTTTTAATTATCTAAAAATAACCAACGTATCCAATGAGATTTATCTTGTTCATTCAGAAAAATTGAATATCACACACAAAATTGTAAACCTTGTTTCAATAATTCCAAGTCACTTCAATTGAAATACAACCACCTATTGATCTTATTGAGTACGAGGCATATACAAATGTCTCATTCAAATGCTTGGGAGATAATGTGAGTCTACATGCATCACATACATTGTTAATGACTAGTTGAAATGCAAAATAATTCTCATTAACCACTAACACACTTCCCTATTCATCAATTTCGGTGTGATTACACTGTTGAATTGAGAAACAGACGGGATAGTAGAATCAAGAGTAATAGCCTATTATGGTAACTATATAAATGATGGTTAATTCACAAGGATAATTTGCATCAACTATAATGAATCCCTCATTATTATCATTCGATATTAATGTTAAGTTGACTTTCTATTTTATTTTGTGGATATCTACACACAACCGTTCCAATCTCACTAATACAACATGATCTACCAACACTAACAGCATTAATGATTCTAATATTATCACTGAGACTACCATCACAACTAACACAACGACAATTCTAGAACATCTCTATAATTTCACAAGTATGTATTTCGATTATCATCTCTCTTGTCGAAATACATGTTTGGTGAGTATTTTTGTTACTTATCAGTAGTGGTATCATTCATAGTAATATCCATCGAGGCCTGTCGATATAAGTATAATATTCAAACTATTCAGGATACAAATAAATAGTATATTTGTAATATCCCAATGAGTAGAAAAGTTAGATTTTCTGAAGAGGTGACTTACACCAAGCCACGAAACGTTAGAAAATCTAATTTTTCTAATCATTGGGTTATTACAAATATACTGTTCATTTATAACAATCTACCCAATGCTCAATTTATTCGAAATTATCAAAGCGAATCTTGGTAATGATACCTATATTCAGAGTACAGATAACTTTCACATTAAACAAAATTCTGTATACGAACATCCATTTCAATGCTGACATTCCATTTCTAACTCTCTCTCTCTTTCTCTCAAAATACTCTTCTTTACACACACCCTGTGATTAATATTATCCAACCACTCGATATTCACAAACAATCTTCTACATCGCCTCAATCGTCGTCATTTTTCCGAATCTATCACTTTATCTCCTTCTTCCACCACACAACTATACCACCAAACCAAGATATTTCTCTTCGCATGCTCATACCAATCATGGTTCATCTGAACATCACCATTTCATTTTATCATGTCATTCAACATTTATCTAGTTCATCATCCTCACATCATGATCACAGTAATGGGCAAATTACTGAATATCGTTATGAGAAACATGCTATGTGAGATTGTACACTTCACAAGTGAACTATCCGAAAACACAACTTTTGTCCAAACTAATCTTTGTAACTCTGTGATTTCCTAATCAGTGCATTCCGTTTAGTTTTAAATCACTCTTTATAATGAATCAATGTTAATCGACTGATGTGTAACAATATGAATTATTGGTTCACCATTACATATTGATAACATTGATAACGTATATCAACCACTAAATGTTCATGACAACCAATATGATTTACATCTCAATCTTAATTAATCACATTTGTTGCACTTTTTCACATTTCATTACCAGACAGTAAGTTGAATTTTGTAATATTCAATTTATTCATTCCAATTTTGTTGATCATATGCTGAATTCGTGTATAATCTGTCCGTTTGATCAGTCTCAGTTAATGCATTTTCATGGAAACAGCCGAACCACAACAAGTGGAAATGTGCATTTTCTATATTCTTCGTTATTCAAACATGGTATAATACAGTTAGAAAAGTACCAACTTTTCTTCAACATTTAATATGTTAAATTTTAAATCCATAGAATAAGCGTCTCATCACGTACATTTTAATGCTTTCTAGCTAGTTCACAATAATTGTCACTCAATTTTAATGTGTAGAACTAAACTATACTGATTATCTTCAATCGAATAGAGTTGATTATTTAGAAAGAATATGCGGATTACTGGAGTACGACGCAGTTTCTAAATATGTTTATGAATATCCAGTTAATGCAAAACAAAAATCTGTTTTTGACGAGATTGCGTCATTCAGATAGTTTACATGATTATCTATTCGTCCATTACTTACGGAAAGCCAAATTATTGAAGAACAGCATTCTTATTAGGTAAAGGTACTATATGACTTACGGAGAGTGCCATGGCTCTAGAGATAAGATCATATTACATAATATTATATTTTGGATGAAGACAGCTATTAGACATAGCGCTGTAATGGAGAGGCCATGTTTCTTTGTAATATGTAAGTTTTATTTTACACGACCTAGAAAATAAATTATCGAGTTAGTGATGTTTTATCTTGGTTGGTCGAGTTAAACTCTACTATTTCTAAGTTCTAAAATACTATCTCTTCTATAATTAATAATAATAATTAATACAGTGTACTATTTGCACTGCAGTCGAACTCTGACCAGTTTACATCTGTTTGATCAGTTTCAAAGTCACTCAAAGTATTTCTCTGAACTAAAGCTATAACTTTCTACTACCGTAACTCTATTCTTTAACGAATATGCTTTACATATTTATTCAAATTTCATATCACATTGATCCTTTTCTCTATAAGCTGCTGTACATGGTAAGCCATTTAATACAAACTTAACTATTTTCAGTCCACACAAAATATAATGTTGGAAACATAAAGTTTATCATTGTAATATAGTTACATTTACATGGAACTGATTTTATCAAAAGACTTACTTAATCAATAAAAGCATACAAATATCCTTGCAATATTGGCAATAAATATGCATTACATTATTGTAATGAGTTGTGGATGATACAATTTAATGACGTATTGTAGTGGACAATATTTACTAATTATATCTATCGACATCAGTAGTACACATCACAGTATGACAGAAATTAGCGAATCAATATGAGTTAATAATTTGCATATAAAAAAAGAGAAGAAGAAGAATATAGATCTGTGTACGTAGTTTATGTGTATTTCATTCCTTTATTGTTTTGTATAAACATATATTCCTTTATTTTTACAATTTTCTACAAGTACTATTCGACAAAAGTAAGTGATGGAATATTGTCTTTATAAAATACACTATGTTGATCTTGTTTTCATGAATGTTTAATTCATTAAACTAAATATTTCTATTCGATTCATTCTTAAGATGAAATAAACTGATGGATTCTGATTTCAGGAGTACAACTCTAAAATAGATCAAAACAAAAACAATCACGTATTACTTTGCCAGGAAAGTCCTACTCACTGCCTCCTCGTTGTGGGGGTGTTGTTTACGAAATTGAGAGGACGAAAAGCGGATGTCCGGCGCTTTAACCTGATCCCAAACTAATGGTGCACATGGGTTCCAGTATCCTGCAGGGACAAATGGCATATGAACCAATCGTTGGTCTCCTGCTACCATGGGAATGCATCTCCTCACGATGCTACACTGCATTAGGGGTCAGAACTTTAGGTCGAAGGCTCGGGGAGTGGCCCTCTAAGAAAACCACATGCTTCGGTATGGGCACCCGGGCAGTATCACAGCCCCCACACACACACACACAAATATGGTGTGGCGCATATATATTTGGTGCCCTCTTGTACTAATATTTATGTGTTGAAATAAATAAATAAATAAACGCATCCATTTATTCCTATCAATGACTTCGAAGTAAAATCATCGGAGATGATAATAATAAACCAGTTCTCATTTTTAAATACAAATTTACATTCAACACTCACATGAAGTGAAAATCATTTCCCAACTAATATTTTTCCTTCTATGTCATTCTCTCAAACAGTCTTGAAAATTTTATCGTTATGGAATTTTTCATTCATTTGTGAGGGTTTATGTCATCCCATTGTTGATTTTAATCACTCCAATTGATCAGTCTCTTTTTGAATACGTACATTCAGATTGGATAGACGTGGTATTGATGTCAACCCAAGAGCATTTCAATCAACATTCTGAGGGTCCCCTAGGATACAAACCGATAAGATTTCATCTTCGTTGCACAATTCAGTGGCTATTTGTAATAAGAATTTGAGTAGGCGTAACATTCAGTGTCTGAAGTGGACGTTAACAGGTTGAAGTCTAGATGTGAATATGAACACGGGTGCAAGTGCAGTCAACTAATCAGACTAACAGAATCATGATGTTTACTGCTAGTCACTAAAAACAACACTTCATAATTGTTGAATAGGTTTTCTTTGTTATAATTCTGGATTATAGTCAGTAGTGGGATATCAATTGTGTGATAATTTAATAAATAACCAATATCTTTACAATTGATGAACCAGTTGAATATTATTTAGTTTCAATAGATTGTCGGATGAGGTGCTGAAAAGAAATCCATACGAACTAGATTTCATTCACAGTGTAAACAGTAAAGTGATAAGCAAACTAGTGAATACGACAGCCACTGAACAAGTTGAAACTCCTGTCTTGGTTCAAGAGATTGACAAAACTGTATATCACTAGGCAATGGCAAACGATCCGTAAATGACCCTATGCTTCAGTGATGATTATTCAGATGTACTTCAGAATAACGACAACACATTGATATGAATCTGTATAATATATTGTAGACGTATTTCGATGTATTCACTCTGTCATTGTCATTCACAAACAACATATTTCTGATTATATGGTAAAACTATTCGGTAATGATTGGCATCGACAAGATGCACGCTAAAAGCTGGAAGGCAGACAGAACAGGTTAAGAAACGCGGTCAGCGCCTTTTGACTAGTATCAAAATGATAATGTATTCAGTGAACATCGACTCCCACAATAGTTTCAAACCTGTTATTATTATTATTGTCAGAAAATAATAAAGATATTCAACTGTCTTTCAATTTCTTTGTGGGTATCCTCTGAGCTTATTAATACTACAATGAGGATTCAAGAACTTTCAAATTTCTGGCGAAATAAATGCCCATTAGGCATAATTGCTACTTATCAGTAGTAATAACATTTAAAGTTACTTTGTAAATTATCCCTTATAATGAACTAATCATTATAGGCAATAGTACAGTAATAAAAGTCAGTGGCTAACCGTCACCTATTAGCGGACAAATATATATATATATATATATAAATCAATTAGGAAGATTCGTGCTAAGAACTATAACTTAAGTCTCAATAACAATCAACCATAATTGTTTAAACTGCTTTCAAAGTGAAACATTCTCCTGGATACACCGTTTTATATTTTTGATTATAAATATACTTACATCTTATATTTTTCATAGCATTGGGAAATGAACGTAAGTTATCGAACAATGTTCATTCACTAGTTCATATTTGTAATAGTACTTACACTGTCGAACTCATCACTGTATTTCATATATTCTTATGAAACTTGTATGATCATCGAAATGAGGAATTGTATCTACTTCCGTTATTCTGATATAAAGCTGACTACATAAATTGGAAAACAGTTTTGCTCTATGCAAGGAGATGTTACTGACGAATCTTTATATTTTTACTTAAAAATGTGAAAAACTGAGACAGCTTGAATTGTTTCAAATACAGATGTAAAGTCTCAGTAAATAAATAATTGATGGAAACATTTAGTTACATTTCTACACTAAACAGATTAATTTCAATAATTGAGATCATGAGTCAATTGAAGCTAGACCTGAAATCACCATGTTTTCAGATTTTCCATGATGATCTAGCTTCAATTGACTCATGATCTCAACTATTGAAGATACTATAATTTCCACAAAATCCCCTTCTAATATTAAACAGATCAAGTTGAGAGTTATCACTACCAAGATTGAACTTGGTAGTTTCAAATAAATTAAGCATTAGATAGAGAGCTAATAGTAAATATATTTCTATTATATCCCAATAAATAGAAAAATTGTATTTCCGATGTTTCGTAACTCAGTATAAACCACTTCCTCAGAGTAAATAAATCACCGAAATTAAATGAAACTTGTGATAATTCGATTTTTGTGTAACAATGAAGCGTTTCGGCATCCACACACATCTCATTTGTGTATTAAGACAAGAGTAACTTAAAATAAAATCATACATCAATTGAACCAAATTACTGATTTACATTTAAACCATTTGAGAATATTTATCACTAGTTTCTAGTTAATTGAATAATTTTCTGGTTAGCGTTTTTTAGCGAGTTAGTTTTCAATGGGATGGGGTTGCTAACCGCATACCCGACCCACCTCCTTTATCCGGACTTGGGACCGGCAATAGCCCCCAGAGGGACTCCAGGCGGAGTTGTTTTTAGTTAACTAGTTACAATATTTAACATTAAAAGCATTAGTAAGTCCCTCTTTACAAACGGCAATCTAATCACTCATGCGAAAAAGTAAAATACACAATAATAGACAAGCTTTATTAAGACATTTACAACAAAGTTATAATAAATTAGGCTAAACCGATTTTTATTTCCTGAAAGAAATCAATAGAATTTATTACCAATGTTTTCATAGAACTATCTTGTAAATAATACAGCCCATTTAATCTTTGAATGGAATTGCTGATATCCAATCATAATATTCCAATATAAGAAAATACTTTTCTTAAACCAGATTTATAACCTCTCATCAACAGCCTCATCCATGAGATAATCATATATTTGATAGTTTGTTTACCCACTGGGAATTACAATTAACACCAGAATAGATATTATTTAGAAGACGATTTAAGACAACGTTACCTATCTACATTGTTACTTCATTTAATTCATTTGTGCCGATTGATATTTTGAAACATTTTTCAAGCTATACCTCGACCTCGTAAGTCATCAAATCATATCTCGATCATATATATACATCACTTAACTCATGATTTATGTATACTTTGAACAGTCATAACAAACATTAATAGCTGGTGAATATTATTAAATATGACATGATCTTTGTGGAAAGATTGTTCTTTTACAAAATGCCATGCTATTTATTAATAGAGGTTCAAGTTCACCCATGGGGATTGTTATAACTTATGGCCTGGATGCCCTGCTAACGTATACGTAACGATACCGCCAATGAGAGAGCAGTGAATTATCGATCGGATCAATGACGCATAAAACCCGTGCGAGCAGTCTAGAGTACTTATCGGTCCTGCTTCCTGCCTAGCCCAGTCAGCTAAGTCCAGAACATCAATCTCAGCCTCTGCAATATCAATCATTTATTTCAAACATATTGGGTTTATATACCAACCAGACAGACCACATCGTACCAATAAAATACGAAACAACATTTATACGAGATTTGGCCAAATGAGGCTGTGAATGTGGGAGGTAGTAATTAGTAGACGAAAGTTACCATTCATTATGCTTATCTCGACATAACAGGGATGCTACATCAATTATGTCATAATCAATCTCTTTCAGATTGATATTTCACAATTTACACCATTTTAGATAGTTAGTCACCGATATGTAATTGATTACTTAGTATTTCTCATGTTAGCGTCAACAATCTACTGAACTGAAACAATTAACCACTTTCCACTCCCAAGTGAACGATCAACAATATTAAAGCAGACCAACTGTTACAAAGATTGTTAGGTTCAATTAAACATTTCAAATTCCAATTTATAACTTTCATGTGATAAATATTTTGAAAATAAGTAATGAATAAGATATTGTTGACTTAATACTCCAACAGGAGTATGTATAATTCTGTTTCTTTTCATTAAACTTAGTTGATTGGGACGAATTGGAAAAAATAAGTATGTTTCAATTTGTAAAACTCGAGAAGATAAAGCTTACATATATCGTTTTGTGAAATACGTGTTTATTTGAATAAAGTTCATTTATAACTCTGCACACATCAACTGAAAAATTCATTCAATAGTATTTGCCTCGAAACCATCCTAGTTGAGTTATCACGGAATATAAGTGAGAAATTGACAACTATTGATATATTAGTTGTTAAATAATAATATTTTACAAACTGTGATTATTCTGCTCATTTCTATGATATAAGTCTATGAGCGTGCATACTTAGCATATAAATAATGTAACTTCAATAGTTGAGATCATGAGTGAATTAAAGCTAGACCACCATAGATAACCTGTAAGTAGTGGACGGCCGTTTCTTCATATTGTGGGACTCCTTAACAGTGCGCATCTACGATCCCGCCTCGCGAGATTCGAACCCAGGACCTATAAATAATGAATAGTATCATTGTGTTGTACAAATAATCCTGATGTTCAAGAAGATGATATCAATAGTCATCATCAAAATTGTCAAATTGTAATCTGAGTTAAAAACTTCACATTTTCAATAGAATATTCTTGTCCAATTTACAGATGATGTAGAAAGCGGAATGGCTTATTTCAGACAAAATGAAAAGTTACTACAGACCACAATAAGTAAGTGAAATATGAACTGATTTCTGTACGTAAATACATAACTAAGAAAATCTACATGTTATAAACATACTTTCATGCATAGCACGACTTATTAACATGTAAAAAGGAAGTTAAAAGACAAAGCAACTATATATAGTAACGAATTATTTAGTACATTTTATCTACTTAGTCTTTTTTGAATGGTGTCTAACTGAAATTCATTTTACAACAACTAATCCAAGAAACTTCAAACACAGTTCCCTATTTGCCTCACAGTGGTTCCAACGTTAAATTGAGGAGTTGAAACTTTCGAAACATATATATTTCTCCTCATCAAGATTCTAACCATGTAATTACACGAATAACAGTAGAGTTAGTGCGATCGAGTGATGCTACCAGTTATATACACATGACTCATGGATTTGCGCTGCTATTTATTCTGGCATGTAGTGGCATATATCACACAAACTTAATCCTGATGTCTATCAATACTTTTCTAAATAAGGGATAGTCATCCGGTGAGGTAACTGATAAATGTCGTGTTTCATGATTTACATCACAGTCTAGTCTTAGTGAGACAACCAGCGTAAACCTACGTGCACTCAACAATTGTTTCATTATAGCATGAAACTCCTCAGTAGTGTGCAAACGTCATCGATCAAGAGGATAAAACACATGGTTTGGATACGTTTTGCTCAGAAGTCTAGGTGTTTCTTAGTTTGCAATGATGTGAACAATGAACTGTACTAATCTCTCATACTTAAATAATTATTTGTTTGAAGAATTTCTAAGAGCAAAACTGAATACATTTTATCGTTTAAATGTATGTCTGTTTCTTTCAGATAACATTATTCAGAATGAACCTAAAAGACTTAAAGCGATCCAAAAATGTATGTTTAAAATCAAGATTATTTACATTAAATCTCATGGTTGATTTTAGACATAAGGTGTAAGAATAAACAACAACATGAAGAATCCTTCAGTTTATTTCTCAAAGGTTTGAACAGATATTACAAATAAACTTTTGTTGAAGTGTAGATCTTCTTAACTCATCATTCACACGCATACATCATTACACTGATTTGTTTCAGTCATTTTGATTTTTCACAAATCAAATAGGATCATAAATCATCCTACTTCTTTATTATACTTACTTTCTAGAAGTTACACTAAACGACGAAATGATAATTAGCGTGATAACATTCCTGATCTGTGTTAAAAAAAACCATGAACATTTCAGATCATTTAAACAAAATGTGTCCAAATGAATTAGGATGGTATTAAAGCGTATATACCCTGTTTCAAACTATCCAGATTCAGCAGACAATCTCTCTTATATTATCACTACCAAGATGTAACCACATAATTTGAAGTGAATAAAGTTGTAGGCTTAAATAACATGACAATTTTCTGGTCACCATTATTTGTGTGCATTCAATCATCTTTCTGTTCAAAACTGGCTCTAACTATAGGCGGCTACTGATTCTGTGCGGACTGCCTCGATATTTCGTGAAGTCACAAGATTTATAAACAAAAATGGATAGGGGCTAGAAGTGGAATCCAGGATGCGCGTTTCGTCTCATTTGGGACTCGTCAGATGAATGTTCACTCTGAGACTCGAATCACACTACCGTACGCTTCAAACGCCATCACGTTATCCACTTATCTACTGAGTCTTGATAGCCACCTACTTGTGCAATAGGGTGATGAAACGCACGTCCTAGATTCCACTACTAACCACTATCTATCTTTTCTCATAATCAAAATCAGATTTCATTATTCCTATTGTTAGGTGCCATACAAATGAAAATCTGTTTATCTTCATTTTAATCTTTTAGAAATGAATAAACAGTTTGAAAATAAGAACCTAATGTCATGTATGATTTTGTGTTTTTTCATCTTCTTCTTCTTTAAATAATTGACCCTTATCATATTGAATGTAGATTCAATATCGATGGTGCTTATCATGTTGAAGACTTCTATTTACAATATTCGCTTTTGTGTACTGTTCTCCGAAAATGTTTTCATAAATGTAATATCGATATATGTATATGTAACTTTTGAAAACGAAAGCAGTCACTTGTTTTCATTACAGTGAAATATTTGAATTGAAGTAGTAGATTTGACATTTGGTTGTTATAGTAATATGTTTTTCCTTCTATAATTTTGAAGTTAATTTCATCTACTTTTCTTGTGTATCATTGATACTACAGTTCCTGATTATTCAACTCTGAAGGACTGCTTCATAAAACAAGTAAAGATTTTAGAAAGTCAGTGAAAATATTCTTAAATATGTAGTTACATAAATAATATGTACATTTCTCATTCAATTACTATATGAAAATTGGCACTCCTGTTTTGCATATAAGCGATTGTTCACTTAGTTAAGAAATTGGAATAGTCTATAAGGTTTACAAATGATCATTACACATTCATGAATTGAATAAATATAAATGATGTTTCACTGTAGACAAATTGATAATGAATGAATTGTAGATATGCATTCCTAGACCTATAACTAAAAGACAATTAGTGTTCATTGTTTCCTGTTTGGTTTTAATCGGTCCTTTCAACATAAAATCATGGTGAATAATACTTGTACAATTCAATAGAGGATTTCCGAAATCATGAAAATGTCTGGAAAATACAAACATTCACAAAACAACCAACGTACAGTTGACTCATTTCAGATGGTATTGGACTTTGAATATTTTCAACAAGAAGAACCCCACTTATTTCATATAAGCGATACAATTGCTTGAAAGACCACAAACCTTATCATTCAGATTAAGTAAATGATGTCAGCAAAATTTGTTACTAGTTGACTTAGAATTGCATTGTTGTTGTTGTTGCGAGTTTACTCAATACAATGACAACAGCTAAGAATGAATATTACATTTTACGTCATTACACTATTAAAAGATATGTTGAGTTTACATGATAAAACATAGCATTTATACAGTTCACATTATAATAGTCATTCGAGTGGCTGTCATTCCAGACCCACTTTCGAGGATAGGCAATGTAAATAAATTTGAGCAAGGCTGAACGAACCAGAACTTCGATCGTTCTTATCATAAACCAATATATGATAATGAATTCACCGCTTTATTTCGATCACCAATAGAGCATGAACTTGATGAAACTAATCGAGAAATGTGTAAAATACTGACTTTTTATGAAAACATTATAAAATATATCCTTCTCCGTCACATATTCTTCTGTTCACTGTCATCTGGATCGTCGAATTATGAAAGATTCATCTTCCTCTTCTGAACAGATAACTTTCATAATTCATTTGGTGAAGTATTTTAAAGTTGAAATAATGTTAACCGACCAGCTATGAATGTTTAGGGAAATAGACGTTTATATTTAATCAGACTTCAAATACTGATCATTTCAAGTAACGAAACCAATGTGAAATTATTCGTTTGAATTTTATTTCCAGGACAGAAGTCTAATAGCAAAAATGAGGTTTGCAAACCACTTAAGTCATTCCCTGAACAAGGTAAATTGAAATAAGTGGTATTCATTATGATGCATTTAAACAACGATGTGTTCTCATAAATTGTAACTACTTATTTGTTTCTAATATCATCGGAAATTTACAGCTACTTTCTCTGAGTTTTAAAGAACGTTCATTTATCAAGTGTTTGTCCATCAGTATAGGGTTCTGAAGATTGTTGAACTTCATTAAAATAAAGAAATGAGCAAAGAAATATGACTATTTAAAACTCAAAGCACGGAACGGCCGTTTCGTCCTAGCCTGATACTTCACCATTTCGAGTCCACATCCACAAGAGTCAAAATCAAATACAAAACCATCTTGGACTGATTAAAGTTGAACATGTCCACTGTTGGATTGGAACCCCATAGTTTATAGATTGAGCGTTTGCGTGAGAGACCATAGATACTGAGTTTGATTCGCTCCAGTGAAGTCGTGGATGCACTCTGTTCAGAAGTTTATTACCAAAACGAAATGATCATCCAATGCTTCCAGGTTTTCAATAGTTGTTTAACTTTGGTCGGTTTGCGATTTAGTGAAACAATTATCTGTCTTCTATCCTTGTTTATGAACCGCAAGGGTTGAAGCTATCACGAGTTCACTTAACCTGTGAACGACAAACAAGACACGGTGACCAAAGATCAGTAAGCTAGCTATTGATGCGTCCCAGCCCCACCAACTAGAGGGAGAACTCCAAGCTTGAAATGGGGAAGTATATTCTGCAAACAGCTAGAAACGAGAGATAACAACAAACACAATACAAAACGTATATATACAGTATAAAACCGTCCTTGGGGACAGTTACCGAATAGTATACTAAAAGACGCGACGGACCAATAACATTTAAGATATTTACCAGTGGAAAATACGACATGAAGGTGACGAGAGCGTCTTTGGCGCAAAATCAAAGAAATTCGAATTTACTATATAAAATTACAAAATCAGGTCCTTTCCCAAGTGAGTTCTGGGGATCTAACGTCCCCAACATGAACAAATTAGTTAAGTGATTCTAGCGACAAACGATTGACACTAATATATTCATTGAATTGATCTGATAAAAACGCCATATTTTCCAAATGTTTCATACTTCCTGAGTGCTTGATCAATTTGAATAAGTTGAGAAGACTGGGATTTGCAGAATGAAATGAATTCACGGCATTTCAGTGCTTCTCATTCAATGCGATTAGTCCAACTTGACGTTAACAAGGTTGCTCCGTACAAAGTTTGAAATAATAGAACAGTTAAATTTCATTGATTAATGTATATAACAATTTCATCGAAGTAACCTCTAGCCGTTTACATCCAACGAAACTCTAGAAGTATCATAGTTTCTGCAAATCTTGTTCTCGGTTTACAAATGTGTTTTCAATGTACGTAAACCAAATTAAGTTATCGTCCATCATGCTAAATTTGAAGTTCACATATAGTCTAGTGGAAAAAAATGTATCAAAATTACACGGACTACAGAAAATCTAATTGCTCAACTAAGAAATCAAAGGCAACACTTTGATAACACAAACCCCATTGACAAAATCCACAATTAATGGTGTACAAACCATACAAATTCATGAACGTCTGTTCATATCAAACAGTTAAATGAAAACAATAAGCTTGTAAAATAAAACAATGCATCATCAGTTATTTACAATTTCGATGGCATGCTATACAAAGTTAATTTCTGAATATTCCTACTACTCACATCCTAATTGTAAAGTAATGAACATTCATATGAGAAAGCATTTAGCATTTATTAACAGACATGACAATAGCCGTTGAACTCCTACGAGTATAACTAATGATTATGCTTACAATTATTCATTTAAATACTTCATTTTATACCAAACTGAAAAGGTACAAAACGTTAAGATGAATTCATCAGTATACTTTTAAAATTGATGGAAAACCTTTCTCATTCTCCTTCTAGATATGCAGGCTCTGAACCAGTTAATTTCTAAGAAATACGATATTTTGTGGAGATGGAACAAAGCATTATGTAAGTATAAGTAATAAAATATTGTATATCTTTAATGAAGGAAGTGTTCAGAAGAGAATTTGAAATGTTCCGAATCTTTAGATTCATACACATACAAACAGTTTGTCAAGTATTCATATATTGTGAAGAAAGTCAATGAATTATGAGAATTCGAAAACATTTATGAGCAATTTATGTGACTTAGTAGGAATAAGTACATAGTCAATTGCTTGGAGTTAATCTCATCGTTTACAAAACGATAGACCATTCATTAATATGTATTTTACTGTACAAAATGATTATTTGTTCTTTCTTTGACATTTCAGTTAACTACGAATTCGCTTCCAAAAATTATCAGCACACAATAAGTTTATTACAAAGGGTAATTCAAATTCACTTCCGTTTTTAGTAACTAGCACAAGTTTCGCCATTTTGTGTTTGTCTCATGTCAGTTATTGCAATATGATGTCATTCAAGACAACTTGTTAACTGATTTGATCTATTCAGACTTACTTGGTGAATACAACATATTAAACATATCCAATGGTTGTTAAAACAATTGATCATGTCGACTTTAATAAAGTCACCATCAAACCGATAACTTTTGTCAATGAATATGTTTCAAATCTGTTGACAGGCAAGGTTAAGGGACATCAAACCTCTCAGTTGATATAAAATCTCGAGATGGATAGAATAACATTGTATTCAACAACAGTAGGTATGCATTGTAATCAAAGTGTTCTGCTTGAATATTTGGGCTACCTGTTCTTGACATCTGTATATTTCAACAAGTTATCTGTTTCCTTGTTTGTTTTAATACATCATAGGCCTAATAACCGCATAACCTATTGAGGTGTGTTTGTGAAAAGTTTGCGACATTTCGCTGTACAAAATACAAAAGAGCCCAATCAAAGACATCGTGGTTGCTGGCAATATGCATAGAAAACAATATACATTAACCAGATGTAGATTCCTGAACTGTTAACATCTAACTGGTGACCATCTAATATTTATCGAATGGGTCGCTTAAGAAACAAGATAAAGAAAACTGGCAAGACTCTAATTTAGCCACGAGCCAATCAGAAGCGGTTGAGCAATGTCAAGGTCATGGAGCCAATTTCAACACGCGATGCTAACATACGATCGGTTCACAGCGGATTTTAGATAGGAGGTGAATAATGAGAGGTTACAACAGATGGGACGGCGAGACTCTAACTTTGGGACGAGGCAATGAGAAGCGTTTGAGCAATTTCATTTATTAGCCAATCAGAAGACAGTATAAAGTAAAAATATATTACAAGAAAGTAATGAATTACAGTGGATATTCTTCTTTTACATGATTTAAAAACTTGTTAAGGTTTGATAATGGTTCAGAGGTTCTGAATTCATAATGCATATGGTATAGAAACTCGTCCACAGGGTTAGAGTTTAGGGTTAGGTTAGGGTGAGGTTAAGGTTTGGGTTAGGGTTAGCGTTAGGGTGCTAACATGCGATCGGTTTGTATCGGATTTTAGAGAAGAGGTGTTTATTCACAGGCTACAACCCCAACCCCAACCTAAACCCTGACCCTAACCTTAAACCTAACCTCTAACCCTAAACCCTAACCTCTAAAATCCGTCGTAAACTGATCGCATGTTAGCACCTTAACCCTAAACCCTAACCCTAGGCTACAACCCTAACCCTATGGACGGGTTTCTATACCATATGCATTATGAATTCAGAACCTCTGAACCATTATCAAACCTTAACAAGTTTTTAAATCATGTAAAAGAAGAATATCCACTGTAATTCATTACTTACAATATATTTTCACTTTATACTAACTGTTTTCTGATTGGCTAATAATTGCCAAGGTCATTTAAGATTCGTTCTTTGTGCTGAGAGTCCCACATTGTACCAAAAACGTAATATTGAATAAAACCACTTAATAATAATAGTAAAATCAATTAAATTCGTAGGATAATAAAAAATTTCAATTTCTTTTACAGATATATAACGACTTGTAATAAAATACTGGTTGAAAATGTCCATCACAATTATTGATCACATTAGTTCAATCTTATTTGTTCGGGAATCCTGTTGAAGATCCTGTATTGACATTTAATTAATTGCCTTATCAACCAAGTTTAAATAAAATACAAGTTTGTTTGAGAAATTTGTTCTGTTCTGGAAAATGTATTTTCCAAATAATCATCAAAGATTCATAGCCTAAGCTCACTAGATTTATGGAATAATGTTACATGCCAATCAGTTGTGATCATTAAACCAAGCCGTTATACCACATAAGTACGACAATATGAAATGATAATGAGAAATACAGAATCTAAATGTACACAAACAGGTCTCTAGCAATACAAGATTTGAAGAACAATAAGATTTACGTGTATCTATTTAACCGTTACCGACTCTGAACTATGCTATTTATTGTCTACATAAGTGACCACGAGCTTAGCCGCCGTCAGTTTGACCGCACCTTACTTCAACATCAGTCAATATCACACATCGGATTAGATGATAATTATACTGAAATGACACATGTCCGAAACTTTTCATTCGTGAAGATCTGGTCTCATACACCAAATAACTACATTTTCAAAAAAGCAAATAAATGAACTCAATATTGTTCACTCATTGGCTCCACGATGAATCAGAAATGTTTTAAAGGACAAATACTCACGAAACTGTAGTCTACGCATATTTATTTCACCTTCATAGTAATAGAGATTGGATTACTTAATATCATACTAGTCATTTGATAGGTAAACGGACACCTTTCCAAAGCGAAAAGTGACGCGATTCGGTATTAACCAACTTAGCTTACTGAATTGGTAGAGAGATTTTGTTAGACACCTATTCTTCAGGGCTGATTGGACTGACAAGTAAAGTGAAGTGGTCAGCACACTCAACTACATAGCTTACTCCAGTCGGTTTAGACTGTGATAGAAACTAGTCCCGAAGCAACATTTCGCATATGAAAAGAGAGAAACACACCTATAATAGGCTTCTGTTGTAACTGTAGGTGACCAGCAAACCCTGTATTTTATCACTGTTCAAATTCAATAGAATTTTGTAACCTGGGTAGACATCTGAGACAGTTTGAATATGTTTAATAATAAAAAACGTCTCAAAAATATTAATATAACGGGTATTATAGCATGATACCTTTTTATGAAGAGGTCAGTTGTAATCACAGTTTACTGATAGTTCAAATATGTGAAATGTTCATAGTATGTTTTGAGCATGTATTGTAATTGCTTTGATAAAACTAAGTTATTCGATGACAACTGATTGATACGGTCGTTAAATTAAGATAAATAAACATCGGAAGGGGGATTTGTGGGGACTGTAGTAGTTCTAATAAGTGAATTCATGAGTCGATGTAAGCTAGACCACCATTGACAACCTGGAAGCACTGAACGGACGTTTCATCTCAGTGTGGGACTCCACAGCAGTGCACATCCACGATCCCTAACCAAAATAACTCGAAACCGGGATCTTCAGTCTCGTGAGCGAATGCTTAACCTTTAGACCACTGAGTCAGTGTCCAACAATCTTAATGTCTAACTTTAATTGACTCATTATCTTGCACAACCATTCATTCATTGTCTAAGGTACATAATTGTCTCCACCCAACATGTATCGCATGGATTTTTTAAAAAGATATTTAATGATATCTCATTTTGTAAACTAAACGGAACTAGATGGAACGAAATTCGAACCCACAACCTTGTGCCTGAAAATTAGTCCAGTTAACTGACTTACAACCCAACTGTGAAAGGAAAATTGTCTAGCACATTCTGTTTTATACAGAATTTTTCGCCATCTCATAATGACTCAATATCAGTTGGATAAATTTAGATATGTGTAAAGAACTAGTTATTTTTCGGCAGTTTGGAAATCGTTCAGTATTGTATTCTCTTAATTTTCTAGACTGAATTGAGTACCTACAAGTTTTATTGCTCGTTGAGGTACACTTAAAATACTGGATTAAAATTTCATTTTCAGGGCTTATTGTGCCGAAAAAATTATTCTCTTACTTTTCTTATTGTAGACTTTTTTCAGTAGTTTGCACAACATTTATCTGCTCATTCTATAAAACAAATGATCTAATGTTTACAGCACTCACGCTATAAGAGGTATGTTACAGGTTCAAACTCTTGAAAAAATACCGGGTAATGCTTGCACTAGCTTACGTACTTACAGTGCACCTCAAAGTGGAGTGCATAAATCTGGTATATGAGTAGTTAGACCGTGTGTGTGTGTGTGTGCACATTCAATCGACATCTCCAAATTTCACTGTTTCAAGTTTTGTTTCATTTTTTCTGTCCAATTTCCACATAAACATTTACTTTGGCTGATACATCACAAGAACGTGATGCTTGGATGGTCGTATAGAATCTTTGAAAGATTGGACGTTAGGACATTTCAATTGTTTATCTCGTTATGATACTTAATCAAAATTTATTCAGTCAGTATCATCTCAACTGGGTGCTTTTTTAATGCGCGGCTAATCATCACAACAGTCGTCTTCTTCATTGGTATTAACCAAATAAGCATTATGTGACAATAATACATGTTATCGCCATAAATGCTATTTTTCTCATTAATGTAGTGTGTTGTACACACAAAACTGATTTTTCAACACATCATTTTTATTCTCTAAATTTAATTAAAAAGTTCCTGATATACTTAGTGCTTTATTTACACTGAATGTACTCTCTTTTTTTTGAAATACATACTCCTTTTAAATTGATTTTTCCTTTGTATATAAACATGTCTTATCATTGCTTCTTTTCCCGATTTACATTGTCTACGGTAATGGGAGTCTTCTTCTTCTTTACGCCTGTTACTCCTTGTGAAGGAGCATGGGCTTCTCACCAGAATTCTCCATACAACCCTGTCCTGGGCAATCCTTTCCAGCTCTTTCCAGTTCTTACTCATCCTTTTCATACCCGACGTAATTTGTTCTTTGGCCTTCCTCTTTTCCGTGTTGGGACTTGCCTCGTGATGCAATCTGATGATTTGCGTAATGTATGTCCTATCCATTTCCATCGTCTTTTCCTAATTTCCTCTTTATCTGGAAACTCGTTCGTTCTCTACCACAGAAGGCTGTTGCTGATGGTATCCGACCAATGGATGTTGAGTATCTTGCGTGAACAACTATTGATAAATACTTGCACCTTCTTGATGATGGTTGTAGTAGTTCTCCACGTTTCAGATCCGTACAGTAGAACTGGCTGTCTTGACGTTCGTATTGAAGATTGTGACTTTGATATTGGTTGACAGGTGTTTTGAGTTCCAAATAATCTTCAGTTGTTGGAATGGCGCCCTTGCTTTGCCAATCCTCACCTTTACTTCTGCATCTGATCCTCCTTGTTCATCGATGATGCTTCCCAGGTATGTGAATGATTCTGCATCTTTCAGAGTTTCTCCATCAAGTGTGATTGGATTGGTGTTCTTCGTGTTGTATTTGAGGACCTTGGTTTTCCCTTTGTGTATGTTGAGGCCTACTGATGTAGAGACTGCTGCTACACTCGTTGTCTTTATCTGCATTTGTTCGTGCGTATGCAATAGGAGGTCATCTGCAAAGTTCATTATTTGTGCTTCATTTCATTCTGCCTATTTTCTATTTCTACACTTAAAACAAACTTTCTCCATGTAAATGCATTTCTCTGACATTTGTATGTTGTGTCTTGTTTTTATTCACAAATATATACAATAATATAGTACGGTGTTATTATTCATCGATGTAAATAATTTATACGCATGTCCAATAAAATTGCAAACTGAACTATTAAAGTTGTTAGTTATGAACGTAGCTGAACAAACAATCTGTTAAATTGTGTGCATACATCAACCTTCTTGAATCAATATAATTTTGATAGTCTATTTGTACTTAAGTACTATTAATTCATGAAGTTCATCCAGAAAAAAACAAAACAAACTGAACCATTTATAATTATTTGTGAGTATTTCGGCTTACACGATAAAACAGACATCTGAGATCTTCCAGGGATGTTTTAAACGACGGATGCAGCATGGGGTTTCTGGTATTACCGTTCAATCAGAGTTGTATTAAGGTGCGCTCAATTTTGCAATGAATATCCTTGTGATCTCAGTTTGCGTATTTATTGGACAATTAGTATTTTTAGAAAACATTTTTTTTGACTTCATAACTGTTGTCAATCGACAGGTGAATAGTTTTTCAAAATCGGTCCACTGAATACAAGCTCATATTCACTCCTTTGATCCGATTGTCACATTTCACTAACCGTAAATCCACATAATGGTTTGTCATGTAACACTTGCAGTCCAGTTATCCTCTGAAATATAGCAAATGCATAATTCATATTCTTCGGTTTTTTTTAGCCAAACCTAGCATGGCTACAATCATAACTGAGATAGCATTGCAACAAGCCAATCTCCACAGAGCGCCTGACAAAACAATGTGTGTATACTGTTGAATAGCTTCAATATGTATTCTTGAAACTAAGGAGAATTTGTGGTTGATAGTTACCTAACTAAGGTCAATATGTGGTGTGAAACTATGGAAATCAACAGTTTCCACAAACCTCTTACAGTGATAATAATCATGTGTCCACTAGTGACTAATTTTGGGGAAATAGTTCCTGAATTTCTATTGAGATGTCATGACCAATTACGTACCAATGGTATTGAGAGTTGGCTGCACAGTATAGTGAATTAGTCGAAGTTAAAGATATAAACCATTGGATAGTGGCTCAGCGATCTAAAGTTTAAGTGCTCACTGCGAAATCCGAAAGTCTAGGGTTCGATTCCGAATTGGTTTTGTGGGTGGGGACTGTTAGTGAGTCATATCCTAAGACTTAATAACTCTCAAATGTTTCCTGATTTTCACTGGTTTGCTAACGAAGGTCGTTTCGTGACGTAAATTGCAAGACTCAACAACGGTCATCATAAAACCTTCAAACAAGCAGATGTCTTGTTATTAACGGTACCTAGATTGAGAGGTAGGTGTGTTTTAACGGTATGCAGAAATGTGTTGAGTCTCCATCTAGCTGTTGGAATGCATTGAATCGTGCAAAAAGTAAATTTTCAACTTCCTTTCCAAACTGCATGAGAATAATCCGACAGGATTTTTTGGATAGATTTCACAATATTGATATTTGATCACTCTCTTGAGCTAATAAAAGCTGAGGGTGAATAATGGTGAATTCAGTTTGCTGAGTAATCCTTCATCTCGAACTGATTTCAGCTATATAATGCTGGGAACTATTGTGTCAACATCCACTTCGTGTAATTAACCTGTATACATGATTGTGTACGTTACAACTTAGTGTACAAGTCTATAGATAGACGGTAATCAATTACATTATCCACCAATTTGTACTAATGACAAAATGTATATAGTATAGATAAATAAATTTAACTAAACACAATATTCAATATACTCGCTATATGTATATACATTTAGACATCATAATTACTTCATGACATTACTGAAATGGATGTAAGTGACAGGATTTGTAATTTTGTTTACAAAACAACTGATCATTCAATCTCAACACCGCAAATAACTTTTGGTTGACAGAATCATTGGCTTAATGATTTATTTTATGAATTCAATGAGTTGACTTAGTATACAAGATATTCAATCAAATAAACATAATCTTGTTACTTGTTAAATAACAGAAAATCAATAAAATAATGAGTGCAAAGTGACAGTTACACTATTTCCTGTCAAAATATCGTTTTCCTAAAATTCACTTCACTCGAATTTATGAAAATATAAGAATAAGCTGGAGATAAAAACTGCTTTCCAAAAGAGACCGGACTTGGAGCATTAGGTTTCTTTAAACAGTTATGGGATAAACTTGCATCTACTCGGTCTGTCCACCAGATATAATTAGTAAGAAAATGATAAGTCAACATCGTTGGGTTTTCCTTGCTTTTCTTAAGCGATCATTAGCAGTCTATCTTCCTAAATTTAGATAATGATCTTTCACTTCTACCCGTTGTAACAATATAAATATATGCTTATTTGATGTGGTTGAATGTATGGATACTCACTATATTTAAGTCAGTTAGTCGCAACGTAGAACCTGGTATGTATGTACAACGCTTCAAGTTGTCATACTCCACTAGCACAGAGACAAAACTGTTAAGACACATCCCAGAGTAGTAGATGCAGTTACAGTATCATTGACAATATAAAAGATCAGTTGTCGAATTTAAGATTCAAGAAAATATATATTAGTGAAATAAAAGCATACGACAAAATTCAGAAGATTAGGATTTGAGAGAAAAGACAGAGAATGAATGCACCTGCTTTATTGCAGACGATTTCGAGCAATCTTGCCAAAAGTCTCTAAACACTGGTTACGATAATCACGTGGATCACAACCAAGTAATCTACACCTATTAACTTGACTGAATCCAATAGTCAGTGTGTTCATGGACTGATTCCACGTCTCGGTTTCACCTCTCCTATCTTCCTCACAATCTACCACCACACCAGACAACATGACCACATGTCGAGGTAATCGGTACTTGAGTGTATGTAACACATCCCTCGACCACCTCATTTGATGAAGATTTACTACCTAATCAATCGATTTACCACCTTTCGTTATTAAAATACCCTATCTGGAACCTCGACATTACTGAATCGTGCTTCCAAAATACACGAGTGATACTTGGAAAACACTTATGATCGAATACTAGTAACGTACAAATATCTACTATTCTTGGGGGGAGGGGTGGATACTTGACACCGACAAAGTAGAATGGAGCGAACTGTTGTGCAGTAAACTCATCGTTTTGATATGTCCCCTATGCCACAAATGACGCAAGTTGACAAAAACAATTCGAGTCTTATGAACCCGTGTCACTAACGCAAGTTAAACCTGATGCAATATTTTGAATTTTTCGGTTCAAGAATTCATTTTATCAGGTGTTGGTATAATTAATTAACATTATGTAAAGTCCCGTTAGAAGAACCCTATCTCATTTTCCACTCTGTAAATTGTAATTTTCCACTCAATGGTATCTATTCTCATTTTTTGCTTTTAAAAATCCTCTTGTGGGTTACCTTTTGAAATCTTATGTATGTTTCAAACCTCTTTGTTTAGTTATTTGTAGATGCTATTTTCCTACTCAATATAAACTGCCTCTACATGCTACTATTTCATTATTCTTATTTATTTGTCTAAATGACATAACATCTATCTGACTATGACTTTGACGACATAATTAATTAGTTTTTAGGCATACACCTAACGTTTTAAAGCTTGCAAACTGTTAGTTCCCACAAAATTATATCATTCGATCAAGTCTCAGATTGATTTGACGTGCAGAATTAAGCATCTAATTACAAACAGCTACAACACTACTATTAATAAACAAATTATATTACTCAGTATTGTACGGTTTTACACTGTATAAACAACCCGTGTGTAAATATTTACTTTCTGAAAAAAGTAAGTTACAGAAAGAAAAAAGAAGAGGAAATCAAAAGTAGGCAAGTGGACGGTGTGTGGATGTTTGGGTGATAAGACTATGAAATAATAACCGCCAAATACACGCACATGCATATATAAATATGTGAAAAGTTAGCAGAAATAGTCAGTCAGAGAGAGTATGATAACGGTAACAGTTGTGTTTGATTTTCACCAGAAAGAATTGTCTTCATTTTTGTATGTTTTCTAAGCAGCTTTTTTCTTCATTGCTGTAAAACGTTCCATATACTACAAAAGTGAGATAACGCAAACTGACTAAATAAATCAGTTCGTCAGTTAGTTATAATAGTGTGATACAACGAAAGACAAAAAATAATGCAATAAGCAGAGATGGATAGTGGCTAAAAGTGGGATCATCAGTTGGGTGAACCAGTATCTTAAATTTGATGTTCGTTCCGGAATCCGATAAACTGCAGTCTTAAAAGATGATGGAGGATCAAACAATCAATACATATGAATTAAAACCTAACCCATTGCACATGCCAGTGGCTGTCTGGATTCAGTAGCTAAGTGGATGATGTGACAGCATCTGAAGCGAATGGCACTGGGTTCAAGTCCCGGAGTGGACATCAAATCTGGGATACAAGTAGATCCAGTTGACGAACCCAAAATAGGAAGAAACGCGCATCCTCGAATATACTGTTAGTCACTGTCCATCTCTGCTTAAAATGCTTTGAAAGTAGTAAAATTTTACGGGTTATATTTTTGGTTTTCCGATTCATAAGTTTCCGTACATTGAAAGACCACTGATAATAATTATATAAATAAACTTATATATTTGATAAGTGTTTGATTAGTTCATAAAACAGACTATGCAATCACGAGATGGATGTATACGCTATGACCAACAGACACGATTCGGAATCAGACTAAACTAGACTACCCATTGAATCTACTGAAAGTAATTCACACACTATGAAATTCAGAGCAGAAATCAATAGTGGGATGTATTTACAATATTGTATAGTTTAGTGATACTTCCTATAGACGATTATTTGTCATCGCTCACTGGTTTTTATAAACTAAGACTGTCAAGTAGTATGGATAAATCTTGCGAAAGAATTCACCCGTTAATATTATGACTTTTGTTAGACATTTTCATTCATGAATTCTTGATATTTTATTAATTTTGTTATTCTAAGATTAGTGAACCGACGTAAAAAGTCTTTGCATTCAAATGATTTTTTTAATGGAAAAAAAAATCATAAATCTTAATATTTAATCAAAATTAACGAAACTTCATAGAGTGCTGTTGGGGGCATAAGGGTGATCACCATTTCCCAGATGCCTACACCGTGGAAGGGTTCTTCTGGAAGTATCTGAGAGGGGAATGTGCTTGATCCTATCTTGTAGATAACTGACTGAACAAGAGTTCATGGAATTCGACCGATTAGATTAATTGTCTAACATTTGGTTATTTGTCAACTAATCAACATTTAACATGAATGAAGGCAATTCAGCAAAGAAAATTTTCTTTCCGATGATTTCATTTACATAATCTGTACAATTGTATTTATACTTAATTTTATTTGCTAAAATAACAGTATGAAGTAAAATAGAATAATGAAAAACAAACAAGCTTGAAGTGGTGTCTTGTCATGAATTGTTCACATAACTTCCTTTCAAAATTTGATTTTTCTGAAGACTATTATTTTAGTAAATAAAATTGATTGCAAATATGATTGTACAGCTTAAGTGAATGAAATCGTCATAAAGAAAATTCTCCTCGCTAAATTGTCTTCATTCCTCTTCAATGAAACTAGGAGTCTCTTTATTTATTTGAACGCATAAATATTGGTACAAGGGGGCACCAGATATATATGCACTACGCATGAGTCTCTTTAGTTACAATTAACACTTTACCTAAAGAAATATTTATGACTACAGTAGGAGTAATCAAACCTAAATATGTTTATTATTAAATCACTAATTCAAATGCTTAGATATTCAATAACATGTTGAAGTGACACGATATGGGGGTAGATGTGCATGAAAACTATGATTAAAAAGATAATAATGACGAAAATAACTAACTTTTGAATAACCGGGCAAATTGTAAAAATCTTTCATATTGAATGAATTCCCATCGACACATATTAAGGAGACTTGTGAATTTGTTAGTAGTTCGGTTGGGAAATTTTCTAATCGTAAACAATTATGTTCTAAGCGTAAAACTTTCAATCGTTCACATTGGGCTATGCCATTGGATATAATTGATATTTTATTCGAATTCAAATTAATTTCAATGGCCTGAATAGAAATATTTTGTTGTTGTTAAGATGAGATAAAGAGGAAAAAAATATTAGATTAAATTAACAATGATTAAATAGATTGAGATAATGCAATACTACAGCCTGGTTACTATCTGTGGCTTAACGATTAAGCTGTTAGACTTTAAACCATTAAATCAAAGGTCCGAACTCCGCCCCACGAACTTCGGTTTACTAAACCGGTCATACTACTAGTCCTAACGTTTAAAGTGGGGTTCAGAGCCAAATACATGAGTCTTTACCTGGTAATAAGTGAATAATAATGATAATAATAATAATGATAATAATAATAATAATAGTCATTATGCATGACAAATGACAATGAAACATCCAACGGTTGTGACAAAGGTGTGATTAGCTTATATTTGTTAATGTGACTAGGACATGCTCGATAAACACCGGAGTAAGGGTTAAGTGAATTGATTAAACAATTGACTTTTAATGAATTTAGCACCTAATTCAGCTTGTAATAAAATTTGTCACTTCAGTAGACATTATACTGTTTTTAGTAGGTAAGTGTTAACTTGTAAGAATGTCAACATCGATTTGTTTTATCTTTCAAATAATTTACGATTGACAGTTTATATATAACTGAAGGGGAGTAATGAAATACACATGAATTCTACGTATTATGAAAATCCCTCTATTCACATGGATTTACGTTTACACAAAACACATAAAAAACATCTCACACTATCAATATTTAAGTGTTCTACGTCTTACATCATTTCGGTCTGTTTTATGGTTCACCCTATCTTAGTATTTAGTTTTGATTTACCTATTATAGAGTAAACATAGTGCTTAACATTTGACTTTGTATTGTTTTTTTTGGCTGTAAAACAAACTCGCAAGGTTGGTGAAACGCATAGATTGCTAGTATTTTATGATATCTGGTCTTAGCAGCATTGTCCGTATATAGTGAAACACCCAGATAAACGACGATAAGGGCTGGCGTAAGTTATTAGGTAGAGAGTAAATAACCTTATGAAGCTGTGAGCACTCAAGAAACATAGGTAGTTAAGGGATGTATTAATCATGTCTAGTCCCCATTTGAGCCAACACACAATAGTGGACAGTATAAAAGTAGATTAGAAGGAAGCTCTGGACAGATCAAATAAAAATATGGTATCAGTCTTAAAAGTTAGTGACTGTTTAATTAAGTCAAGTTGGAGGGTGGGGAACTTCCTGGTTTGGGTTCACTAGCTAATCGTTTGATTGAACAGTTACTGAGTGTGTCTGTCATTACTGTTTACTTGTGATTCGTGAGGGGAATAACATTTAACACAACTTTTATGCAGCACAAAATTTAACTTTTGACCATATATATATGGTGTATTAGTTTAATTTACTACATTTTACATCAACATCTAACACAATGAAAGCTTAACATAAGATATATACATTACAAATGACGAATAAGCATCTATACACATCCAAAACTTATTTAGACCAGATGCTATGATCAACAGATACTCTTACCTGTAATGAAGCGATAGCATTCGGTATAATACTAATTTGATTATTTGACAAATCAATCACATTGATAGGTATTGACTTTAAACACAGTTCCACAGGAAATTCAGTTAAACAATTATGACTCAAATTTACAGTACGTAGACAAGATAATTCATTTAAATTGACAATTGCTCCAGGTGTGATAAAATTAGTTAAGAAATTACTGTTTCCATTTAATGATTCTAATTTTGTTAGTAGATATATTTCTGCAGGAAAACATTCTGCAAGTAAGGAAAATATAGCACATTTGGTTATGATTGATTCATGTGTTCATGTGGCCCGTGATTTATCAAAAACAGCACATATATAAGCCTGACAATTCACAAACTAGTTAACTATTTATATTGTAACATATGCTTCCGACCTCTTTGCTTTGTACTAATGAACTCTTGTTCTGGCCTATATTTGGTTCACTACCGAATGGTCGAGTTACTAAATATGAATGTATTACGTGATTAAGTCAGTGTCAAAGTTATTGGATTATTATTACTCAGTTAGTTATAAAGCAGCGTAGAACTTAGTGCATGTGCGAATTAGTTCAGATCGCCATACTACTTTCCTAAAGCAAACAATGAAACTAACAAGATGATTGGGAAAGAGATCGGAACAATAACAATATCTATGCAGTACGAAAAGACTAGGTGTGTGAAGTAATGTAGGATTTCAAGGTTCGAGGGGAGATAGATGCATAAAGTAATTGGGAACTAGTTAATCAGCGTGTACCAAAGCAATCGTGCATTGAGCATACCTTAATCCAGTCTATGTCCCGCTAACACCTTTGGACAGCCAGGAACTGTAGTAATGTTCCCTTCTTACAGGGGAAGGAAAGGGTCAGATAACGCAGAGCCTAGAAATAGAACACCATATACTAACCTGTGGGTTTCCGTCGCTGGTAGTAATGCCTTTGAAACACGGGGGTAACACATCAAGAACTAGTAGCAAAAAGGACATGTGCGACCGGCCTCGAGTAGTTTTTCGTTGGGCTCTGCAGTTACACTCTTAGGTTACTAAGAACGTTACTAATTTAGTTTCCCTTTCGGGTATCTTAATATGAAGTATTTTTCCAATGTACAACTGGGGAGTCATAACCACCCACATATTTCTAGCAGAAGTCGAGAATACCTTGTACACGAGTAGATCGCTAACCTGATTATCAATTCTTTCCTTATGACGTTATCACTATGCTCACACTCCATCAATGCTAACTGACTGAGAAAAATATAAATATACATAAAGCAATTCTACATCATTTCAGAAGGTACGATCTTCTTAGTACATTATCTTATACTTTCTTGCATATTTTATACACAGAAAAGTTAGAACTACTGTACTCAATAATTCTAGTTGCGAGAAAATTGGAGGGCACAAGATATAAAATGAAGTGAAAACTAGGAGAAACTGTGAAACCTAATCAATACGAAATATGTTTTGCTCATTGAAATATATACTAATCTAGGATATAACAGGATACACTTTGACAATTAATGTAATGAACAATTAGTCTGATTACAGTAATAATCATATACAATTAATAATATGTAAGTGTAGCACTGACGATTTTGAGATGGGGAGCATTTGCATCTAAGGATGAGAAATTTGGAGGTTTTATTCCCTGAGCTAGACAGTTTGATCGTGAAGTTTTCCTAATTTTTTTGGATAACGACATCACTCTTTGTGTTTCTCTAAAAATCTTAAATTTTGTGTTATTTATACTGCTCACTTAGAGATCACATTTGAGATGTATTCCCCATGTTTTGGTTTTCTATCCCAGTAAATTTAATATCTTCTTTTTGACTGCTAATTTCTTTTTTAACTTCCTAACTTTATGGTGACGTGAGGTATGACTGACGTACATTTGTTGCAGGTAAAAAAAGGCATTTTGACAAGCCGAAACGTCTGTTTAAGTATGACAGGCCTACTCACTGCGGTGTTGTTTCCGAAATTAAGAGGACGAAAGGTGAATGTCCAGTGTTTTACCCGGGTTGGTGGATATAGAGGACCCACCAAAAGGAGTTGGAAAACCCTTATTACAAACCAATAGTGCACATGGGCTCCAGGATCCTGAAGGGACAAATGGCGTATGAACCAATCGTTGGTCACCGGCTACCATGAGATTGCATTTCCTGACGTTGCTCTACTGCCTTGTGGATCAAAAATTTAGGTTGAAGGCTTCGGGTGTAGTTTCCTAATAAAACTACCTGCTTCAGTCTGGGCGCTCGGGCAGTATCACAGCCCACACACAAATCAAGTGCCTTGTGTGGCTCACATGTATTCGGTGCCCCTTTGTACCAATATTTATGTGTTCAAATACATAAATGTATTCTTCAGAACACAGAAGTTTAACAATATTGCTTGCTAGTGTAATAAACTGCGCGATATTTAACACAATTCGAATTTTTTTAAACACTGATGGAAATGTAGAAATTTTCCGGCTATTAAAAGCAACAGTATGATGGAACTTAATAATATTCAGACCATTCGGTAAACGACTTTCTGATACAACATAATGAAATACTGAACAGAAACTTACTTAATTTGTTGTTTTCAACGTTTAGAACCTTAAGATTTTTTAATAAAGATATCCATGGGTCGACATTTTCAATTTTATTATTTGAGAGATCTAAACTCCGAAGATTACGAAGGTGTTTTACTTGTTCAGGAACCTTTTAAGTTAATTAGCAAAGGAGTAATAGTCGTTATCCCATACCTTTTTTAATTTTAAGCCACTGACTTGTAAAACACCAGTCTTCTCAGCGTTCTCGATCCTCGGAGCAATGGTATTACCCATTAGACATAGTAAAGATGTAAAGTTTTGTTGCAATTATTTCCTAGAGCATTAAAATGCACCTAAAACAATGAGAAAAGAAAACAAACGAATTTACTTGGTATAATAAGTGGTTGATAACCGAAATAATAAAAATTTCTTATATACATTACATATAGTAGTCTGGCTCCCTAGTAAAACCACCTGCTTCGGTCTGGGTACCCGGCCAGTATCACAACCCACACACAAATCAAGTGCCTTGTGTGGCACATATGTATTCGGTGCCCCTTTGTACCAATGTTTTTGTTCAAATAAATAAACAATAAAATAAAGATTCTGAATCACAGTAAGATAATGACAAGAAAATAGTTGAGTAGTGGAATAAAGGCGGATATAGAGTTACAGTCACCGTATGAAGGACATAAGGACGCAAATAAATTGAATTAGAGTTCAACTGGTATATAAAGCAGTTAGTCTCTTTGATAGATCTGGATGGTGTAATAATAAAAGGATTATAAGAACTGTGTAATATATTAGCATAATACATTCCGGACAATCTGATCACACATATACTTGCTAAGAAAATTTTACTGACCCTCCACTCGCCTATTTGACCTTTTATATTATGTTTTTTATTCAAGTGATATGTTGTGTTTAACATTAGTGAGTGGTAACTTGGTATTACAGCAACTGAAATCCTGCTTTGAGGGTGAATTTTTACCCCAAAACTGTAAGAGCAAACACACAGACGTAAATTAGTCTAAGTATCTGCAGAATATAACTGAAGGTGAATCTTATGACTAAATGAGCTAGTGGGAATAAACTAGGAGTTTGGTTGTTTTAAATGTGATTGAATTCGGTTTTGAAACTCTGTGACTATTTTGGTGTCGATTATGAGTGGACTGAAGACGTATCGAAATGCTTTAATATGGGCACGCATGTACAGCTACTGCAAGATAAGTCTAGCATATCGCCTTCTCGCAGTAGGGGTATTGTTTACGAAGTTGAGATGACCAAAAGCGAATGTCCGGTGTTTTAACCGGGTTGATGGTTATAGAGGATCCACGTAGGGGAGTTGGAAAACCCTGATTCCAAACCAATGGTGCACATAGGCTCCAGAATCCTAAAGGAATAAATGGCGTATGAACCTATTGTCAGTCACTCGCTACCATGGAATTGAATCAAAAATTGTTCCACTGCATATGGATTAGACCAGTAGGTCAAAGGCTCAGGGAGTGGCACTTTAAGGTCACCTGATTCGGTTTGAGCACCCAAGTAGTATCTTATTCCTCACGCAAATCGAATAATGAAGTATGGTGAATATATACTCGGTGGCTCCTTGTACCAATATTTGTGTGATTAAATAAATAAGAAAGATTTATCCAGAACTTTGATGTACCGCAACGTATTGTAGGCAGCCAGACGGACTGGCGTATTCGAAATAGTCTAACAGACTGTACTGTTTGGCTGGTCAAAACATAGATAAACTTAGATCTGAAAGCACAGAATACCTAGCTGCTACAAATCTGCTGGTTGGTACCGCATAGGGGGGGAAGGTGTGCTTGATCAACTCAACTAAAATACACTTGAACGATGACGTGATAGCCCGAAAACACAAGTGGTATTGTGAGTGGAGTGAAAAGTTACACTTATCGGGAAATTAGAAAATGACTCATCTTAACATTACTTATAAACCGTACAGTTATAAGCAATATATTCATACAGTACCCAGTTATAAGAACGCGTGACAAGTCTGCAGATCGTTAACTACTACAATCGTTTCCTCCGATGTGCACTGCACAAACGAACTAGTAAACAATTATCTAGAATAGTTAAGAAGCCCAAAGCGTTCTGTAATCATTAAGAAATCCTAGAATCTAGCAATTCTAACAATTATTTGATGAGAGAAATGGGAGATGAATACGAATTCGCTGTGTTAAGTGGGATAAATCATATAAGCCTATACATACTACACAGATTTATAGTCATTTTTGTGACACTAGGCTTGTTATGAAGAACAGATACACCAAAACTGGGACTAGTGTTGCTAAACACAAGGTTTAAAAAAAGTTGAAACCAAATATTGCATAGCCCCACGCTATTCGTCAAATAAGATGCAGGATGTTAGCAGTTTTTTTACAATTTTAGTCAGCATAATGTGTATAACAAAACTTTGCTGGTCTACTACCATAATATTATTAGAATAATGCTAAAGTAAAGATGCAACAGAGTTCTCCAGAGAAGTCACTATTTTAACCAATCTGGACAACCAATACATGAAGGTGGCAGTACCGAAATGTACAAAAGTAGCGCTAGACAGAAAGAAAGTTTTTCTTTTGATGACGAGTGAGTCAGCTAACATACGATATAGTACACACGTTTTCGTTCGTTGAGACTCGTATCGACGACCATTCGAATCAGCATACGAAGGACCGTTCAAAGTTCTTCACAAGAATCTAAGTACTATATAGTCGATAAGAACGGAACAAACGATAGCATCAGCATGGATCGCTTAAAAGCAGTGTACTTAGAAGAAAATCCTATTCACGTCGATTTCCCTTCGGTACAATCGCTCAACACGACTCCTACGCTTATTATACCCCAACCGACAGGCAACACACACGATGATACTTCAATAATATCAGAAAATAAACTTAAGACGACGCGTTCTGGAAGAAGAGTAAGATTTCCAAAACATTTAAACGATTATTGCACGTAAGACACTACTTGATATTTTATATTATCTCGATTTTTCTTTTTACAATATGTAATATGTTTTTAAAAAAAACAATTTTAATATGCTTATATATTTTTATTTTTAAAAAATATTATAAAAATCCTTTTTTAACGATATTACGAGTGTATGAGTTTGTTTTCCACTTTTTTCGCCGGTATTGTGTTTTTACGCGCGTACGAGTGTATTTCGACATTCATTTACATTTTCTTCTTTCTTTTCCAGGACGGCTGGAAGAGAACGATGAAGTTTACGAGGAGCCGAAATTTTTATTGTACTTTTTCTTTTTTTTACTATACTGTACTTCATGGTTCTATATAGTCAGAAAAGACGACCAGACTCTGCTAAACCTAGCAAGCTATTAGAAGAGTGTTTACCAACGACAAAACTCGTTGGGCTTAAAATTCTGGCTGGCCACGTCTTAGGGTCATCACTGCCCCACTAGGGAGGGAGTGATCTGTAGCGGTAAATAAATCCCCAAAATAAATAGCTCTGTAAGTTTTCGACATTCGATGCTGGCTATACGTTTTAATGGACTCACCTAGCTGAAGGCGCTCGGTCATGCATCCGCACCAGATCACGTGTGAGAACGCTGTGCTCAACATTTACGGCAATCGCTAGCCAGACCAGATCAGACCATTCCGATGTATTGGCAATCGTCGAATACAGCTTCTGATCTCCTCGATTCTGTCTTTTGATTTCTGTAGGTGGGTACGGATTATCTTAGGTGTTACTGGTAAAAGCGTTGTCAAACACTGGATACCTGTGCCATCTTCACAGGTATTTGGTGATTAGCTATGCTATTATCCGTTAGACCCTTGTAATCGAAGGGCTCAAAGCCGGTCAAGCCAGGAGTCAGTACTGAAGTAGTTAGGGGATATATTTGGATTATGGTCGATGCATCGAGAAGTATGTGATCTAAGCTGCCTTGTCGTGATTGGCGAAGATGGCTGACTGAGTTCCCCTAGCCAGAATGTTTAAGACAAAACGTGAAAAGTGAGCATCAATATCGAGTACTTACAGGACATTTTGTCTCGAGAAAAATATATCATTTGTTGCGCTGATAAGCTAGTCTCCATTGATTTCTGTTGAGTGTGAATTATGTTGTGCTTTCGTCTACTTCCGCTCATGGTTATACAGTCACAAGATTGACTGTAAGCTGTAAGTAACGCGTGAGTTTCGGGTCATTGGTATCTTTGCAAGATTTATTGCTCTTTTCATATCAAAAACATTGTGGAAAGTGCACATTCTCTCGTATCATTTGGCACTACGTAACCACAAACTTGTAGTATCATGGTCTAGGTTGGTAATAGTAAACTTATCAATGTTACTAGAATAATGGACCGATCCCACAACTGTATATTTGCCATGATGTGACTACCTGATCTACCAGACTTTACGTGGAAATCACACTATTATGTATACTGACTCGTCCTATAATGAAACAAAGTGAAGGTGGTTGCGGACTCTCAAATAATGCATTTTGGCTGGGAAGGGAACACTATATTTAACACGAAAGCAGGAGGTTATATAGTGGTTATAACGTTTGCATGGCCGAACCATACCATACTGATTAAATGTTTCCCCGTTCAACATTTTTTAACCTCCTCAAGTGTTGAATAATGAGTGAATATTTTCTTTGCTATCGTTTATTGAGCTTCAAAGATAATGTTTTAGAACTAATACCACCACCGACTCTTTGCAGCCTTTTGCAAACGATAACTTTTAATTAAAGGGCTTTTATATTGACATTTATTATCTTCTCCTGAGAAACTCAGAAGGTAGTGGAAACGTACATTAACGTCGACAGCATCATCGATGAACGTGGAGGATCTAAATCAGACGTACAAGCAAGGGTTGTCAAAGCAGTGGCAGCATTTCTATAATTGAAGTACATAAGGGACTCAAAACAACTGTTTTTCAACTATAATCAAAGCCAGAATCTTCACAACGAACGTCTAGACAGTTCTACCGTACGGAGCTGAAAGTTGGAGAAACACTACATCCATCGTCAGAAATGGACGAGCATTAATAATTAATTTTCGACCCAAAGTATTCAATTTTCGTTGGCTGTGTGAACACAGTGTATTCCATATGAAGAGGAATTTGGAGAAAAGCTTTTGGAAGTGGATGGGACACATTGTGAAAATCAAATTTCATCACAATATAAACTCTTACTTGGAATCTTGAAAGGAAACGGAAACGAGGGAGACCAAAGAACACACTGTGTTGAGAATCGGAAGCAGGTTTGAAAAGTATGAATAGCAACTGGAAGGAACTGGAAAGGATTGTTCCGGATAGAGTTGGATCGCGAATGCTGGTGGTCGGCCTATGCTATTCCGTGAGGGGTAAAAGGCGTGACGTAAGCAAGTAAGTTAATACCTCGTCGTTCATTATAAGATTGGTTTTATTTGTGTAGTTACAGAAGGTTTTGTGTGATTAATAATGTTTTGGTATAATTTTTGGCTTTATACTTGACTTGTGACATATCAAGTGTTAGTGCGAGACTGAAATCAGTCAAGAAATTCGAAGTGAATCTATCACTGCTGTTATACATTTGTACATTGTATTTAATGATGTTTGGAGTGAGACACCTTCCAGTATTTCGATTGCTTATCCTGTTCAAGTTTTCTTTGAAGATAAGGAAATCTATGAAACCTAGAGTTTCTCTGCAAAGTAACAGAAAAGCTTGGAAAGGTGTGATCTTATATTGGTTTTCTAGGTGATCTGGACACTATTCAAGCCCTTCACAACCCGAAAAGCAAAGCTTATTCGTATAGAACAGTGACCAGGGTACTAAACCCTAGTAGCTATATCGAATGAGCAATTATTTCATAGTGCGTTATATGGGATTACAAAACAGAAGATCGTACAGATGATGGTGATGATGATGAAACGAATGTCATAGAATTTCGCCTAAAGGGTCGCCATGCCGATTTTGTGTAAGATGTTTTTGTTAGAATGATATGGATTACTAAAACTATGGCAGGATGTGATATGGAAACCTTTCGTCATTTTGTATAAAATACGATGCAACACCGACATGAGAAACTAATATCTTGTTCGTTAACCGCGAGATGACGAAAATTTATCTGCCGTCTTACTAAAAATTATCAAGCGATTATCATTTGAAAAAAACAGACGCCTGCCGACGAACATTTTTGAACAAACTGCCGAAAAATTTTTTCCTAAATATTTAATTATGTTTATTATAAATATAAAGAATGAGTCTATATCAGCAACAGTTCTGAACTATTGATTCATGATCTGCTGAGTTTTACTCCATAAATATTGATTTATTTCAGACACAGTTTAAAATCAACATTTTAATGCACCCTGACTTAGCAGAGATAATATGATTTCGTAGGTATCGTATTTTTGACGTATGCAATAGATTATGTCGCTTCCATTCCTTCAAAAGCATCTTCTAGCATATTAGTGACAACGTATGCACAGCTTTGTTCGACTACTTTATCTCACATAGGCAAATTTTACGTTGCGCATCTACTACCAAAGCCTGGTATGTTGAGCTTTTCGTAGGTTATATACATATGATATGTTGGCATGGAATCAAATGCTTTACTGACGTTATGTAACGTTTGGTACGGGTGATTAATGGATAAATCGCAAATTATTGTCAAATATCACTCTTTATGCTTGACATAGCTAGCTGGTATTTAGCTAGTCATATAGAAGGCTGCAGATAGCAAAGATCTATAATCAACGCCTGTTGTTGTTTGAATGAGCCAATTTACATGTATTCTTTTCGCTTTAAACACCGCTATTTATGAAGCATCATGAGTCATTATCGTTGCTATATACGGATAATTTGTTCGCATAATTCTCAGTAGTATCTTGGTAAGTATCTATTTACTAAACTTAGTGATACTTTTGCCGTTATAAGTAAATAATGTGCTTTTATCTGCACTCAAAGAAACCGAATGAATTGTTCAACTAATTTGTGTACGTATTATGCTTTTTAGTTGGGTTTTTCACCGTTCTTCATAATAAGAACGTTTTAATATGTGCAAACTTTAAGACTGCTTACATCATTGTTTGTGATAAAACACGTCTATCAGTATCCCCTGTCTTATTTCACGTTTTCTTAACTTACATCATATTCGTCAAATAGATGTGTAGTTTATGAATAGTAGAATTGATTCCTCAAAGTTCGATTGGCTGAAAATCTAGTTATGTAAGCCATTAATGACCTCTTTATCGCCTTGTGTTGCTTTGCAATACATGTGTGTACATAAATGTGTATACATTTTTCGCTTTGATTTTGAGACTATGTTTGTGGCTTGACATTTTTAAATCAAGTATTGAGACAACTTTCGATGAGACTATAATTTATGGACGAACTTTGAGCGACGCAAAGTGACTTTGAGAGTATCCACCTAATAACTGGGACGAAATGAGGACTATAAACCAGCGTGAGGAATTAGAATTATGATTTACAGTTCATGGTTAGGGTTATGAATTAGATTTAGGGTTTTCATTCCGAACTGACATTAGCTTTAATACCAAAACTTTATTTAGCCAAATGTATGGATGAATTTTTCGTCAAAATCCGTGACTTGTTATCTTATACATGGTTGATTTGTCCATAAATTATAGTGACAAACCATATTTAATCTACCAGTTATATTATAAGGCCCAAATAATTAACACACATGGTTAAATTTTACCTTTCCGTAGAATATGTTATCTAGTAGGCACCCATTTTTGCGTTTGATTACTTCTACAAGTGGTAATGGTGCGAATTATAAAACTTGAATATATGCTTATCTTGGTTTTTAACTTTGGATATGTTGAACTTCGACTTTTTAAGACATCTGAAACAATCGAAGTTAATTACCACGAGTGAATTTGAAAATAGAAGTTAATTTTTATGTCTTCAATAAATAATGTGTATTCTGATTTTTCTAGCGTTAAAGATACAGTGATTTGTTTGACATAGCTGCGGAAAACTGATGCCTTGAAACCTTTATGTACTAAGCAAAAACAGTGTGAAAAGATTAGTTAATTCGTAGATGCATATAGTACGCTCTTGCTAGAGCGTCCTAATTTGAACATTTTCCACGTTTTACTCTCTACTCTGGAACAGAACATAAGTTTCTAGATATTTTATAAGGTATGATTTTGTTAAACATTTATTTCCCTTCTAAAATATGAAGCGTTTTAATCCTTATGTACTTTGTTAACTAGAGGCTATCGTATAGGTAGTCATTTAAAACAGATATTCCCAGTATTTTCACTTTATTTATAAGAAGAAATAAGTTACCTTAGCGACAACTTTTAAGTGAACAGGACTGTATTTACATTAAACAGTTTCCTTTTATGAATAGTTATTTTAAGAGGCAAAACTGAAATGAAATATTTAATAGGAAAATATCTAGGCTCGGATTTTTATTCTGAAAACCTGATAAGTTTTTGGACTTTAAGCGCTCAAGGTATTCACACATCTTCTTAGATTCTATTTCACATATTTTGTAGAGATATATTATTGTGACAGGCAGAAATAAAAAAGGTAAAAGAAGGTATTTTTTGATTTGATTCACCAATCTTTGTACGTATCGACAAAAATCTTTGGTATTTTATCGTGTTCTGGCTCATTTAGGTATATTTAATCTTCTTAAGTTTATGTAATGTCAGAAAGTAAATATTTTGATGACAATAATTTCAATTAGATTTTTTGCAGCCAGAGATGTTTATTAGTGATTACTGTGCCTAAGGTCACACTGGTGCTTCATCATACGGTCCTATGGAAATGCTTGCCAGAGTATTTATGGTAAGGTTCATACCAAGTCAAAGGGAGTTTTGGTCATGTTGTTTGTGAAAATCTGATTTTTATATTATAAATGGTCAGAGAACGTCACTTCAGGACTAAAAAAAATCGATTTCAGTTCACACTGCCACACTACCAAATGAACAAGATGACTAATAGAAATGTAGAAACAGCGGCGACGTCTACAGTGGTAGACAAGATGAGGAGTAGAGAATATGATTAGGAAGGATGAAGAGATAGAACGGAACAAAGTGATGAAATAATGTAGAATTTCGAAATTTAAAGGAAAATGGAGAATAAATACTTTTTTGTTATTACGACTGACTTTGATTCATGTTATCAAAGGTTTTCAAACGAAGATCACAAGTCTCCAGTAGACTCCAATCATTTTTGAATCACAAGCGTGATTCTTTTTGATAGCCAAAGAATGGGAAGAATGTCCATTAAAATCATTAGTTCTATTTCTTCTTAGTAAACTGAGTAAAGTATATTAGCTTTTACAGGTAAACAAATCGTTTGAGTTTCATATTTTTAAGGCTGCGCTTTAAAGTTTGGTTTGATACGGTATATCTTTGTACTCAATTGTCGGAATAATCTTTCGTAAGATGTAAATAAGACAAAGGAACGGGGTTATTATCAAAAATAACAAACAACTTAAATATCTCACCAGACTATAGAGTGCCAGTTTTTGAATAATATAATATTTTAGAAGTATTCACTTTTTATAGACGTATGTTTGCTGTTATGTGATTCGTTACAAAAAATATCAATTCTAAGTTATTTTTCTATGTATTACTCATTTATTAAATGGCTAAAAATTGTTCAGCCATCCCACTCAATGTCAACGAAGGAGTTGAGATAAATATGTTTCACTTGAGGTTGTTATTCAAAGAACCTAAGAAAACCTTGGTAGTGAAAACTAAAAAGTCTTGTCTCCTTAAGGCACTTGAATTATTAGAATGATAAGAAGCTAATTTAACGAAGTTTTGTTTGAGTTAAACTTTATTATCACCTCTTACTCATTAAATTCATTTGTCGTAATTAAAACTAATTCTAATGTATACATTCCTGTCTTTTAACTTTTGAGACTGTTCTCATTTTTGAATGAAATCGATTATTCTTTCACTTTAGTTTCATTTTAAGGTAAAATCTTTTGAGAAAGGCTAATTTGAAACATTTTAAGTTTAAGACTTTGACATTAGCCTACAGAAAAGTGTTAGATGCTTGAGCATAATTAATAAGCAGTTTCAGATGAAGATTTCATGTTGCTTAATATCCACAAGACATGATTTAAATTTCGTGCGATTCAATATTTGATACTGTATTCTGTCAAGTTTAGACACAAATCTCATGGATGTTTGTTTAAAAAACCATAAAATGCTACGTCACAATGACTTATTCATTGGTTTTAAGTATTAGCACTGAAATTAAGCTCGACACAATTTTTCATCATCAAGTGTAGTAACTATATCACGTTTATAGGTCAATAAAACTTTTAATTACCTTAACAAAATACAAACACACCAATCTATGGTTTCCAGGATGTGACCACTTCATGTACAAAACTCATTTTGGTGAGTTTTCTTTTTATTATTTCATTTCCTTTCAATAGTTGATTTTTGACGTCACCGTTTTATTAAAATACTATCATTTTTCTATTCTTTAGTGATTAAGTTTTATTATTAAATTACATAAATTATTAACTAGGATAGAAAACATAGAGCATTAGTGTTTTATTTATCCAATGCCTCGAACTAACCTTTTTCATGGGCGAATTATTTACAATTGTTATTCATTGTTTATAAAATACTATAAGATACATAATCGACTAATGTTTGATATAAAACACTAGTTGTACGCTTTTCAACAAGATATTTGTCGCTAGGATATCACTGGTTTTACTTTCTACTATGTTGGAGTCAATAGGTGAGAGTTTAGAATTGTTAAACCTATTACAGTGACAAAAATGAATTCACTATATATATGTAATCAGAGATATAGGGGGCTTTTTGAGATTGTAGAATTTCATAGTTTATTACATTCAACGATCTTAAATAGCCGCTTGAAAAACAGGAACCCATAGTACAGCTGTTACACTCTATAATGTTGACCTCTAGCAGTGTGGAATTGCAACCTCATTGCGGATCAAACCCATGGCTTTTCAATTCTTATAGCAAACACTCAATTTTTGGACCACTGAGTAGGCATCGTCGCACGACCATGACTGAACACCACTGAGGAGTGCTATACTAGGACGGAACCGTCACTTAGTGCTTTCTGGTTTTCAATCGTTGTCTAAATAAAGTCAGTTCAAGATGTAAATTATGGAACTCAGAAATGTACAACTTGTCAACTAACAAAACCAGTAGCTAATATATAGGTTTATTTGTAATACACATATTATTCAACTGTATAGTATCTTCACATAATAGGTATATTCTGTTTAATTAAAGAGCACAAAATTATAATTATTTTTCATATAAGTTGACAAATATCTAAATAAAGATTAAATGAGATACTGGAAAAATAATGTTCACTGAAGTTAAACAAACCAATGAACTGTAAAAATATACAAATGTACCAGTAGTTTTTCTAAAGGAAATTCCTTTTGATTATTATCTTTCGATATCCACTTTCATTATCTTCTCGGTAGGTGGTAAATATTTACTGTGCTTCAATTTAAATGCTGTTGGTAAACTAAGAGAACAATTATGTTGATGTATTATTGATTTATCAACTTCAATTTGTATTAAATCGGTATTTGTTCTATGTTATACACCTGTTATGTTATTCAAAGAAATAATTTCATAAACATAACTATTAACATTCGAAATTCAAACCACCCAGTATCAGTATCTTTCTCCAAATCCTCAACGATTGAAAAAACCCGGGAAAATGTAAGAATATATTTGTTATAGTAATACAATAAAGAAATGTGTGTTTAGAGCGATTCAATGTAAACCACTTAGAATACGAGTTTTCTAGGCCAGGTCTAAGTTCATACGTGAAGTCTGAATCCTTCTAAATAGCAATTAAAAAAAAGTCCTCTGTTTCAGCCTATTTTAGTCTA